GCCCCGCCCACCCCTCGCCTTTTTAGAGCCCCCCAAGCGGGAGAGGAAAAGAAAGCGTAGAGCTGGGTGTTGGGGGGGTTACTAATAAAGAGTGGATTTTGGGGGGCCGGGGTTAGGGGCGAGAGGAGGTGGAATTTGCCACCTGGCCGTGCAAAGGGAAGATCATAGTCCAACTCCTCGCTTTAGGAACAGGGAAACTGAGGCCCAGGGAGGGACCTCACTTGACTTGCCCGGAGCCAAGGTCAGGGAGGAAGCTTGTGCTACATTGATGGAGGGGAAACCAGATCCTAGCTCCCAACCCGGGTATCTTTCATTCCTTAACAGCACCCCATACGCTCCAGAAACAAACAAAAAACTACTATAATTCGCATGTGACAACCGGCTGGGCACGCCCTGCCTGCCTCGGGCGGAGAACTGGGAGGCGTCCCAAGTGAAAGCTCCCACGCGCCCACTAAACCGTCTCCGGCGGGAAGGAGTTTCTTCCGACAGTGCTGGACGCATATTAACTACTTCCCTCCGCAGAAGATTTATCTCCGGGCAGGGCCCCGGCCGGATACACAAATCCCGAGGTTGGTTTTCTCAGCGGCCCTTCTGCGACGCGAGCGCGTGCTCCGCCACCTGCTGCCCCGGCTCTGGCCATCTTTCTGCTCTGAATCTACCTGGCCCGCACCCTTGATGCCCGCTAACAGTGTTATTGTTATTCCACCTTGCGGTTAACAGAATTAGTTGCTTTAGCATAAGAAAGGGAAGGGAGCCCTAGCCGGTTTGGCTCAGTGGATAGAGCATCGGCTTGTGGACTGAAGGGTCCCAGGTTCGATTCCGGTCAAGGGCATGTACCTTGGTTGCGGGCACATCCCCAGTAGGGGGTGTGCAGGAGGCAGCTGATCGATGTTTCTCTCTCATTGATGTTTCTAACTCTATCCCTCTCCCTTCCTCTCTGTAAAAAACCAATAAAGTACATTTTTTTAAAAAAAAGAAAGAAAGAAAGGGAAGGGACGCATGGAGAAGCCCCTGGTCCACCCACCTGGAACATTTCCCGGGAGACAGGGAGCATTCAGCTCTGGGTCACAGCACATGGCAATACTCTTGAGGTCTGCCACGCCTGGTCTGACACTTGGGGATACCTTATCTGGGGCAGCGCGCCGCCCCCAGAGTCCAACAGCACGGATATCACCACACCGAGAGGCAGGAAAACGCTGCTCCTGGCCCCCGATTGTGCAGAGCTGAACAGCGTTCTTGCACAAGGCGTGGTGGCATGGACAGAGCACTGGGCTGGAATAGACCCACATCTCTCTTCCCAACACGGGCTCTCAGTCTCACCGTTTGTTTCTTTGTTTCAATCTCACAGGTGTTCATATAATTAAATGAGATAGGGGTGTGGAAGTGTTGGACAAACTGTAAGAAGTTAAGCCCTAAAGCAGTGATGGCGAACCTATGACACGCATGTCAGAGGTGACACGCGAACTCATTTTTGGGGGTTGATTTTTCTTTGTTAAATGGCATTTAAATATATAAAATAAATATCAAAAATTACACGGGGTTAGGAGCTCTGTACCAGGAAATAAGGATAGAGATAAATTTATATTTCTTATTTTACAATAACACAATACGAAAGCTCAAAATTTGTTAGGTTGAGAAATATGGAACTTAGATTTGGTTTCTTCCCTGAAAGAATTTACAGGGTAGGGGGGAACCCACTTCTTAAGCAGCAATTAAGTCTTTAGCACCTTTGCTTTTATCCTATAACCCTGAATTTAAAACAGGTTTTTCTCAGAAGCAATTCTGGTTTTATAAACTGTCTCATGGGCTCAAAATTCCTCATATTATTAAGTTCCTTCATAGCTATGCATTCACTTTTAAGTATAACACATGAGAAATAATCTTTTCTGTTCTGTAATAATTTTTAGATGTCTTTTATTTATTTGAGAACTTGAAAATACATGTTGCTGTGTACAAAATCCCTAGAGCAGTGTTGGCGAACCTATGACACGCGTGTCAGAGGTGACACGCGAACTCATTTTTTTGGTTGATTTTTCTTTGTTAAATGGCATTTAAATATATAAAATAAATATCAAAAATATAAGTCTTTGTTTCACTGTGGTTGCAAATATCAAAAATTTTCTATATGTGACACGGCACCAGAGTTAAGTTAGGGTTTTTCAAAATGCTGACACGCTGAGCTCAAAAGGTTCGCCATCACTGCCCTAAAGCCTACTCCTCCACCTCTCCCAGCTCCTTGGCTGCTGGCTGTTTCCTCTCAAATCTCTCCAGTCCTAAAAACAAAACTATCAAGCCAGCCCTCCAATCGAAGTGCCTCTCCAGTTGGCTTCCAAGTGTTTCTCTCGTTCTTGCAGACCTCTGAATCAGTGGTCTACCCTGGCTGCCCCATTTCCTCATTTCTCAGCTCTTGATGATCTGGCCTCCTCTCAGCAAATAAGGCCTCTTCCTCCTTTGGTGGCACCCTTAAGTGACACCAATTGTGAATGCACTTTAAAGGCAAGACTCCACTTTATGCCCACAGCTCTTCTCACTCCAATCTCAGGGAATAACCTCCACCCTCATGGTTTCAACTACCAAATCAACGATCTCCATGCCAGACCTCTTCCAACTCAGCATATCCAAAACTGAACTCATCCTCTACCTCCATAGCTGCCCCTCCCTCAGCTGTCGGCATTACAGTCTGCGGGTGCCACCATCTACAGTCATCAGAATTAGAAAGCTGGAAATGAGTGAGTCATTCTTGATTCAGCCCTTTGACTTATCCGATCACCCAGTCCTATCTATCCCACCTCCCTAGTAAGCATTGACTCCCTACCTCCATTCTCACTGGTATGTGTTCCAGCCATCCTTTCCATCCTGAACTGTTGCAGCAGCCTCCTAACAGTCTCTTTCAGACAAACTCATTCTCCAATCAGCCTCCAGAATGAACTGTCTAAAATGTACTCCTATTGCCCTGGCTGGTTTGGCTCAGGGGATAGAGCGTCGACCTGTGGACTGAAGGGTCCCAGGTTCGATTCTGGTCAAGGGCATGTACCTTGGTTGCGGGCACATCCCCAGTAGGAGGTGTGCATCGATGTTTCTAACTCTCTCTATCCCTCTCCCTTCCTCTCTGTAAAAAATCAATAAAATATATTTAAAATAAATAAATAAATAAAATGCACTCCTATTTAAAATCCAGCAGAGATCCCCCTGGCTTCTGGCTGCATGTATATGACCAAAGCATCCAGCATCAATCTGTCAATGCACTCAGGATTCTAAAGGACCATGGAGAGCCCCAAACTTCAAGAGGCAGCCGAAATCCCCAGAGTAAGGCAACACACCCTGGCCAGGGGAAACTATAGGGAGAAAAAGAGCAAGTGACTATTTTCAAAAATTCCCCTGCTACAGATGTTTTGAGTATGGAATGAAGAGAATTTGGACACAGATGGGAGGACATACTGAGTCACTGGGAAAGGCTTGAGCATGTTTATAGGCTGCTGGAAAAACCTGAGCCAGAAAAGGAGGAGAAGCCAGAAACCAGAAAAGGAGAGAGGGAGTAGAGCAAGCCCTGAGATGTTCTGGAAGGCTTATTGATTCTCCGCAAATGATGATTCTGGGCTGGG